GGTAGCTCGTGCAGTCTGCAGGACTGCCCTTTTTCTTCCAGATCGGGAATCGTCGTGCTCTGTTGCCAACTCTCAGGCACTTTCTTTTCTGCAACGACTTGGTTGAAGAACTTCGTCAACCACTCCGCAGGATTCCAGCACTGTGACTTCCACAGATCGGCCGCCAAGTCGTCGGGACCCGTTGCTTTACCTGTCTTCATCTTCTTCAAAGCCGCCTCTGTTTCGCTCACAGTTATCTTCGAGACAGGGCCGTGGACCGGAGGAGCAGAAGGGATTGGCGGGTGTGAGAATTCTACTGTCGAGATTTTCTCGAAGTAGTCGTGCCATCGCTTCACAGCCCTTCTTGCGGTCCATTACGAGTCGCCCGTTCTCGTCATTGATGCCGAAGAACTTCTCGATATCCTCGGTCTGGCGATGGCGAGCCTTGGCTAGTCTGTAAATATAGCGTTCGCCGTCGCGCGTCTCGAGCTTCTCGCTAACGCCATCGAGATGAACTGCTCTAGCAACAGCCACAGCTTTCTTTGCTGCCTTCTTCGCGCTCTGATAGTTGTTCCAGTTATCGCTTGACTTGTCACCGAGAAACACTTGGTAGAGCCTTTTCTTCTCCCGTACTTTTTCTCTGACAGTGTCGGTCCACAGCCATGTCTGCTTGTCGATTTTCCGCCGTCCAGGCTTCGTAATGCCAAGCTCGGAGCGAGCAACACGGACTATCGCTTCTGTGGCACGTTTCCATGTTTCGTCGACAGTCGTTACTGGCGGTAGCCGAATGTGAATGAACAGAGGGGAGTGCAAATCAGTGGTCGATGTTGCGTAGCGACTGTCTCGTACGGCACTGTCTTCGCGTCCGTCACTAGCCCTCGATCACGTTGCCTGACGAGGACGAAATCAATTTGCGTTCTGGTATTACCGCTGTAGAACGTGATGAGGTGTGAGTCACGTTTTCGATAGTTTGTGTTCACGATGGTGAGATTGTGCGAGTTGCATATTCAAGAATTCGCTCGCCATCGGCGTTTCGTGACCCATAACCAAAACCACCATGACAGCTGTAACCATCTTTCGTAGCGCCAACGTGTCCATTAAGGTCACCTGCGACAATGATAGCGTCCTCCGATGGTACCTCAGCTGTTTTCTCATCTAACAAGGGAAGGATACCAGATCGAAGTGGCCATTTGTATT